CAAGACCCTGTTTTCTACTTATTTGGGTCTCCCTAATGCCTTTCTCATAGTCCAAACTCCTAGGTGGCTGCTGTGTTTCTGTGTGAGTGCTTTGGTGGCTAATTTTTAAAACAACTTTATTGATGTATAATTTGCATATCATAAAATTCACTCATTTTAAGTGTACATTCAATGATTTTTAGTAAATTTACTGAGTTGTGCAACCACCACCACAATCAAGTTTTAGAATATTTCCAACACCCTGATAATATCCCTCCCCTGGTTGGCTTTTAAAGGCTGGACCACCAAAGTCGACCTACAGCTGTAGTGTTTGGAAGTTGGGCCTGAGGGATTTGGGATTTTGAATAAAGATCTAAAGGCTTCAGGCAACATGCCACTACAGAAACATTTTCTGACCCTCTGCCTTGTAAAAAATGAAGTCTTAGTTAACTATTAAGTCAGCCATAATATCTTGAAGGATTAAGATGGACCATATCTCATTTGCAGCCCACTAGCTCATTATTTTCCTCTCCTGCTACCCTCTCAGCGCGGATCCTCCCCTAGTGGGCTGGGGCATTCCTTAAAACACTTTCTAGGCACAGCCCCTCTCAAGACTAGCAACCTCCTCCTCTCCAGCAATGCTAACCTCAGTCCAAGCTCCCACACGCCCAGCCTCCGGATCAGGAAACGTTATTCTGTGGCCTTCCTTTGCCATTTCCAAATCCACCACCTTCATCGCACGACAGGGTCCTCTTCTTCCTTTCGATCCCTGCTGGCCTCATTCCCCTAAATCTCCATACAGATCCCTGTCCAGCCTGACCCCTCTCCTTTCCAGGCTCGCCGGACGCCCGCACCTCGGACCTCAAAAGAGCAAATGCTAAAAACCGAGTTGTCGCACGAAGAGAAGGGGTGTGTGTGGGGGTGGGTGTGTGTGTGTCAGTGTATGTGCTTGTGTGTGGAAGAAACCAACAGAGTCAACGCCGGTGTGCATCTTCTGGAAATGCCAATCACGCCCGGCTGAGGGAGCCAGGATCCGCTCCCCAGTGCGCCCACAGAGACGACACCCCGAGTTCTGCGGGTCGGAGGCAGCAAGGCTTCACCTTGAACCCCAGCCTTGAGGGCGCCCCGCCCCCCCCCACGACACAGCACCCCCCGCCCAGGCGCGGTGGTAGGGCCCGGCGCGACGTCACCCATTGTTTACAAATCAACCCGAGCCGGCAGGATTCCGGCTCCCGCGACTGAGGCGCGCGGCACGAGTGCCTGGCGGGCTCCGGCTTCCGCGTCTGCCCGGCCCCGGCCTCAGCCCCAGCCCCAGCCCCGCACCCGGCTCTGTCGCGGCCCGCCGAATCCGCGGGCAGCCGAGCAGCCAGCGACGCCCGCAGTGCTCCGGGTGCCGGCGCGGGGGGCCATGCCGTGCCGGAGGGAGGAGGAAGAGGAAGCCGGCGAGGAAGCGGAGGGGGAGGAAGAGGAGGAGGACAGCTTCCTCCTGCTGGAGCAGTCGGTGACGCTGGGGAGCTCGGGCGAGGTGGACCAGCTGGTGGCCCAGATCGGCGAGACGCTGCAGCTGGACGCGGCGCAGGACAGTCCGGCTTCGCCGTGCGCACCCCCGGGGGCACCGCTGCGGCCCCCGCAGCCCCTGGAAGCGGTGCCGGCGGACAAGGCCCGGGCCCCGGCGGTGCCGCTGCTGCCGCCGCCCGCGTCGGCCAAGGCTGTGGGCCCGGCGCCCCCAGGGGCTCTACGCTGCGCCCTTGGGGACCGCGGGCGCGTGCGGGGCCGGGCTGCGCCCTACTGCGTGGCCGAGCTCGCCGCAGGCCCCACCGCCCTGTCCCCACTTCCCCTTCAGCCGGGCCATGGTGGGCCTCCCGGAGCTGGCAAGCGGGGAGCCTCACAGCCGCTGTCAGGTCCGTGCCGGCGAGGATGGCTCCGGGGCGCTGCAGCGTCCCGCCGCCTGCAACAGCGACGCGGGTCCCAACCCGAAACCCACACAAGCGACGACGACCCGCACCGACTCCTGCAGCAGCTCGTGCTCTCAGGAAACCTCATCAAGGAGGCCGTGCGGAGGCTTCATTCGCGACGGCTGCAGCTACATGCAAAACTTCCCCAACGCCCGTTCCTAGGGCCTCTCTCGGCCCCAGTGCATGAACCCCCTTCGCCCCGCAGCCCTCGCGCGGCCTGCAGTGACCCTGGCGCTTCCGAGAGGGCGCAGCTCAGAACTGGCGATGGCGTTCTCGTCCCTGGCAGCTAACACGCCCGGGGTGGCCACAGCGCCAGCCTCTGACTGGAGGGCAAGGGGTTCCCGGAGGGCTGCAGTCCTGCTCAGGCTGGTGGAGAACTCTTTCTTTGGGAAGCGGGAGAAATAAGCTAATGAAGAGGAGGAACTGAAAAATCGAGAATGTTTTCGCGGGGAACTGAGGTCGAGGGCCCCAATCTATTTGAAATACAGGACTTGACTGGCCCTATTTAAGGCAGAATTTGCAGAGCGCACCCCAACCTCACAGTCAGTAAGGACTCTTTATTTGGCGTCACCCGACTTGGCCGCAGAGCGTGCAGTTCCGCGCAGCTTCTCAGACCACAGGGGCCGGCGACCATGTGGCCACAGTCCACTCTTCTCAGAATCACCGTGCGCCGTAACCACGGAGCATGATCCCAGTTACTTTACCTTTTCAGGGCCAGTTCCTGATCCACTTTGGGGGCGGGGAACATGAGTAGACGATAATTTCAGGGAGTACCCCAATCTGCCAGACTTCAAAATTCATGACACTTTTTAAAAAGCCCATCTTGTGTCTTTTGGGGTGCTGGTTCTTAATATAAAACATGCGGTACCATGAAAGGACCCTCTTGGGATTGAATAGGAGTAACCTCTGCCCTCTCTTTGCAACTGTCTGTCTTTTTCAGAGTGGCGGGGGAAGGCTGTACGCCAAGGGTGGGGAGGTGGGGGGCGGGGTGTTGAATGGTGGAAGGGTAGAATGAGGCGCGGAGTGAACCCTCTGGTCTCTCAAGTGTATTTTCACAGCCGGTTCGCCCGTCCTCGGGTTCAAGGTCACTGTTTCCTGAGCGCGCACAGGGTTGAGGGGTTCAAGAAGAGCAGAGTAGCTGGGTTCTGCCTGTACTCGGAGAAGAGCGCGGTGTTTTGCCAAGTGCTGGAGTCTCCCGAGGACACGCGTGCGCCGCTACCACCACGGGTGTGGGGAGGCAAGGACGTGCTGAGCTGCCTGCGGGCGACCACTGTCCCTGGCCACTCTCCCAGCTTTCACGGAAACTGTCCTGAGACGTGGCCCTAGGTCCCTCGTCTCCCCAACTCGGCTCTTCTGTCCTGCTCAAGTGGGTGGCGCTGGTGATCCTGGGTGCCTGGGCTGGGGGCTAGGGAGACCCCACGTGACAGACACTCCAGGGACACACAGCCTTGCATAGCAGTTTATAATGGGCTCTCCGGGGCCATTTGCAATAACAGCTGCAATTCCCTGGATAGAGGGAGTTGATTTCCTCCTTTTGCCCCTCCCCCAGCCATGCCAGCTCGCCTTTGTAAGTGAAGGAAACCGAGTAGAAAATGTGACCCTCCAAATGGAGAAGCTGCAGGCTTTGCCATTGTGAACCGTGGTGAAGTGCTTGAAACATACTGTTCACTCACTCTAAGGCACTAAGACCATTCTGTTGTTTTAGTTTTATAGTCAGTGGCCTGCTCATCATCCAGATGTGGCTATTGACATATCTACACTTCGCACCGGAGTGTGTGGAATTATGGCTATCCTGATTATAGGATTTTAACTTAACTGAAATTCCTGTTTTGAATAAATGTGTTGTGTTTTTTGTTTGGTTTTATTTTATACTTGGCATCAGCGGGAAAGACGTACAGAACACATTTCTCTGATCTCCATAAACATTAAAACACTTGAAATCCCTGTCAGCCTGGCTTGCGGATGGTAATTAGAGCGCCTTTGTGTCTGAGCAGCTCACTAGTTAGACAAGGTCTGTGCAGCTGGGTGTGTATTGGTGCTGGCATGAAATTAAATGAAAGTGAGGTCAGGTTTTGGACCAATCCCATTCGCTAAAACCTCAGAGCCTTTGGATTACGAGTCAGTGATGGAGATGTGTTATGAGCTGCCTCTATTAGCAAGGGCCATCAGATCAGCCAGGCCATGCGGCCTGAGAGGCTTATCACTTTGTTTTCTTTCTAGCATGGCCATTAAGTGGACTTGTTCCATAAGGTGGCCCTTAAGGCTGGGGCAGCTCTTGGTTAGGGGGCTGCTCAGGTTGCAAGCCTGGTCGTGGGGGAGCTGGCTAGGAGCTTACTAAAGGACTCCACTCTGTTTGCCTCTGGCACACTTGCTACCATTCTGTCCCTAAGCAGTGACATAACAGCCCATCTCTATGCATCCAGTTCTGACTTACTTCCATCTGTTCCCTTAAGGAAGGAACTAGACGGGGTGACAGGGTATCCAGGGTTTAAATCCACTTATTAAGTGGGGAGGAAACCTTGGACCAGTTGCTTAACCTCTGTGGGCTTCAGTTTCCTCATCTGTACAGCAGGGACAAGGAGATAAAGGGAACGTGGTGACTGGCACGCACCAGACATGAATAGCATCTGGTCCCTACCCCTTCCTTCCCAGAACTGCCCCTCAGCAGCCAAGTGACTGGGTCCTCAGTTTCTCATAAAACAAGAGCATGCCATGATCCCAAAACTGCTTTCTGGAGTCAGTGCTCTATGACTTTGAGTCCTGATTTTCTAACTCCTTGTTTTGACCTAATGCCCATTCTCTCTCAAATGCACACACCCCACCAATGGTCTCTGAGGAGTACCCCTAGAACACCAAGCCTGCCATTTCCCACAAGTGCCCAGAAAGGGTTGTGGGGGCCTCAATGTAGTGTTGCCCAGCAAGGGAAGGGAGATTATGGAGGCTCCCATACAAACCCAGGAAGAAGGGCCTCCAGCAGTGCAGTGGGCACCACCTCTCAGCGACAAGCGTGGCATGCGAGTAGCCCTGAGGTCCTCGGTCCCAATTCTTAGTTGAGGGGGATCTACCAAAGGTCAAAGGGTTAGAAGCAGTCCAGGGCTGTCTCTGCACTCCCACACTGGCCAGGATTCGACGCCATCAAACCGACTGCTGGCTCCTTGTAATAAGCGTGACTGGTTAAAGCCAGACTCAACCTCAGGGCTCACGCAGTACAACCCCTCCTAAAAAAGGAAAACAGGAGAAAACAACTGTTTCTAAGTATGAGGCACTTTAAATGCACTATAGCCCTATAACCGTTCATCTTTTTAAAAAAATCCTGCCAAGTTTCACTATTCACCCCAAAATCCTTTTTTTGGAGTAAGTCGAGATTGACATAAATGATTTTTTAAAAGTTTTTAGACCATTTTATAGTTATAAAAATAGCCCAGGGAAGTGGGCATGGCAGAGTGACCTACCAAAGTCATTTATGAAGTCAGAGGCTTAGCAGAGTCTAGAACCCAAGTCTCCAGGCTCCCAAGTCAGACCTCTTTTCAATAGCTCAATACCATCACACATGGTCCAGTACTGCTCGCTGCACAACTGCACACACACATTGTAATGTGAATGACACCCCTGCAGTTCCCTAAATTGGTGGCCCTACCATTGGACCTCTGGAAAACTGTGCTCTATGTTCCTAGGCTGAGCTGGGGAATGCCAGGTACGCCGTAACAATTTCCTTACAGAATGTTCAGCATCCTATGAAAGACAGCTGGCCACAGAAAATGGCCTGGGTGAGGTAAGAGAACAAGCTATAAACTGAATGAAAAAATAATAATAAACATGTAAATTGGCAAATAAGTGATTTGGGGAAAAGACTGCCACACCTTTCGGAGAACTCCAGAGTCTGCCACCCCAAGATTTCATTCCAAATTAGGCATACATGCTACAATATTTGGATTCAATTTTTACCCTTTTTCACTCTTTCTTTTTCCAGCTCAGAAGCAGAAACATGGAGCGAAGATCAGACACCACTTTCCTATCCAGCAAAGTCTGTGTCGAACCCTGTGATCCCTTCCTTCCAATCAGGAAAGAGTTACCTTGGCAACCAAATTACTAACTCACTCAATTAGCCCCCCTCTCTTCCACCAATGCTCAGTAATCACAGAACGTCAGCCCCCGGAGAGCTCAGCTTTCAGCAGTCTGGTGCTACCGCCTCCTTCAGAGATGGAAGCCTAGAGAGGTTTCCACTCGGAGGTGTACTCCATTTGAACACTGTGAAAGCTGGTGCAGGCAAAGAGGCAAAAACTGTCCCATGTGGTGCTTCCTCCGCGTTTTCCATCATAACTAAAGGGAGACCAAATAGCCTGTCCCTAACAGTGTTACCCAGAAGACATAATAAATAAAAGCAGGGGCTCTACATGCAGCCCTCCATTGCTAGCTGTGTGATTTGGGACAGGGTCAGTAAACTCAATACTCTCAATTAACTTATCTGCAAAATGGGGATAAGACTAGCTTTTACCTTAAAGGATAGTGTGACGATTAAATTAGATATTGTATAGAAAACAAGTAGCAAATAAACAAAACAAAACATCATTCCTGGAAGCCACTGCATTAAGGCCACTATTTGACTCTTTTGTAGAAAGCCCTGCCTGTGGCCAGATGCTATGGCTCATGCCTGTAATCCCAGCATTTTGGGAGGCCGAGGTGGGAGGATTGCTTGAGGCCAGGAGTTTGAGACCAACCTGGGCAACATAGCAAGGCCCCTATCTCTACAAAAAATTTTAAAAATTAGGCACAGTAGTGCACACCTGTAGCCCCAGCTACTTGGGAGGCTGAGGCAGGAGGATCGCTGGAACCCAGGAGTTGGAGGCTGCAGTGAGCTATCATAATGCCACTGCTCTCCAGCCTGGGCAACAGAGCAAGACCCTGTCTCAAGAAAACAAAACACTGCCTCTTACTGACTTCTTCGATCTGTTTCTTTTTTTCTTTTTTTGAGGCAGGGTCTCACTATGTTGCCCTTGCTGGCCTCAAGTGATCCTCCCACCTCAGCCTCCTGAGCTGGGATTACAGGCATGAGCCACCACACCTGGCAATCCGTTTCTTAAAAGGCACAAACCTGTTTCTTCTGAAAGGCAGACCAGTTTCTTGCTCATGCATCCCTGTTACGTAGGTAAGTGGTAGGGAAGTGTAGAGGGAGACAATATCAGCCTGGAAGAGGTGTAATTAGAAAAGGGTAGAGGTCACCTTTGAGCCAAGCCTGGAAAACAGCTCAGGGTTGGAACCGGTGCAATAGGAGCAGCAGGAATATTACAAAGGGGAGGGGTGGCAGTGAGGACAGCCTGGAGCCACAGCTCTTACTTAACCCTCCCATTTCCATTTAGAAAACCCATCCCCTTCTAATTCAAATTCGGTGCCCAGCTGAAGTTCTGCTCACAGCCCTGTCCATAATCTGTACTAAGAAGATCATGCAGTTTCTTCGCAGGAAGGGACCTTCGAGTTCATTTTGTTCTCATTCTTGCTTTTTATTTACTGTCATTGCGTTATCTCAGGGGCTCATATGTGAATGTCTTCTCTTCCCTGAGAGATTATATATTCTTTGATGGCAGACAAATGACAAGATGAAGAGGATGTTTTAGGCAGATTGTCAGGCCACACGGCATGGGGAATGGACTAGGGCGGAGAGGAAACATTCATTTATGGTCAGCCAGATCAGCTGGGTGGCTGTTACAGCTCCCAGGCACCCGGTGATAAGGGCCTAGGCGGGAAGAGAGAGGAAAAGACGAAAGACATTTTGAAAAGAAAACCCATAGGCCTCAGTGCAATATCGTGTAGCCATAAAAATGTGGGCTCTGGAGCCAGACTGCCTGGCTCCTTCCTTTAGACTCTTTCCTGTGACATTGGGCAGGTTACTTCACCTCTCTACCCCCGTGGTCCTCATCTCCAGAGTCCAATAATAATAAAAGTCCCCAGCTCATAGGGTTGTTGTGAGGATTAACTGAGCTAATGCTAATAAAAATGCTTTGGCCACTGTCTGAAACATAGCTGCATGCAGTAACAATGCCTGGGTATTGGCATTTAGTAAATATTTGCAGAGTAAACGAGGAGCCTAAGGGAGGGGGGTGCTTGGGACATAGATGATCAAAGGTGGTACCTACAAGTCTAAAGAAGATGGGAAAGGAGGGACAACAGCAAAAAGGGAGAACGGGACCAAGTGGCGGACTCCCTCAACCAGGAGACCTGTGACAGGTGAATGGGAATGCAGGATATGAAAGGAAGATGCTATAAAGGACGAGGCTTCTGAAGGAGGTGGGAGGGCATGGGGTGCCCAGGCCCGGCAGATTTGAAGGGCTAGGGCTCTGGGGGACTGTAGGTGTGGATGTCCCACGTGACAGCACCCTGTGTCCCAAACTGTCCTACCACAGTGTGGTCTGAGACCTGACAGATTGGCTGTTAAAACAACCTTGTGTAATGCTTCACGCCTGGGATGGCTGGGTATGTTTCTGGTTTCGTGTGAATGAATTCATAGAATGAAAACTAAAACTGACATCAAGGAGTATATTAACTGCTCGCCCTTATCACTGGTTAACTGACTCACAGGAAGTAAAATCACAGCCCCCCACTGATAGGCTGTCCAGGCAGTTTGTTTGACTTATTGATTTGGGTGGGTTAAAAAAAGCACAAGCTGGTTATCATCCTGTTACCTTTGCCCTGCCTTTTGCCCATTTCTTTAACTGTCTACATTAGATTCCACAGCCTAACATTGACAAGAAATGGTTTCCTAGGTTTTCCTGAAAATCTTCCCCAGACACTAAAGTCACAAGCCCCTTTCTGCAGATGCACCATAAATAGTATTAATACTTTTCTTCAGCTGCGTTAAGGGGGCAGGAACTTAGTGCAGGTGTTCACCACACTACTTAATGGTGCTGATAAAGAGAAGGGGAATTAACTTCATGGTTCAAAATAGACAATGAAAGTCATTAAACAAGCTCTGATCCCATATACCCGGGACCTCTGTGGATTGACTACAGAGGATGTACATAGAGATGTTATTAAATAATAATATAGATCTAGCCACGTTTGTATGTGAGTGCGTGCACATGCGTGGACTCACAAATATTCCACCACCCCTAGAGTTCACCCTACAGCCTTCTTCGGCTCCTCTCCGTCCTCTTACTTTCTGTCTGCTCCTTTTGTGTATTCTTCTTCCTCCCAGAGGTTTGATGAGTTGGGTTTTTGCAGAGTGCTTAGGACAGAGCCTGGCACATGGTAAGTGCCACTCTGAGTACATTAGCTAGTGTTGTTATTACTACTCAACTGCCAGGATCTCCCAGGCTCCTTCCACCTCTCTTAGCTTTAACTGCCAAATCTTTATCTTCAGCGCTGATCCCTTTCCAGCTGCTAGTCATTTACGAGCCATCAGCTGACCCTATTACTTTCCATGTGAAACTCCTAACCAAATCTCCAAACCATACCAACACCTCCTCCCCCGACACACACACAACCTGTTTCTCCTGGCCACTTCCCTATTGCTCTGGTCCTTCTGGGCTTGACACTTGCAGAATGTTATAGGAAAACCTAGGCATTGGCTCCTTCAGAAGATGGAGTTGTGTTAACTTTCCCTTGCTCACAACCCCGGTTCTGTGCCCATCCATTGCAGGAGGCTAGGGATATCCAAGCCAAAATCATTCCTGGGCTGAGTACTAGGAATGGGCTATTCCAAGCGGCAACATCTTGGAAATGGCCATTGCTTCCTAGACACAGAGACACCTCCCCAGACCCAGGGCTGGGACTAGGCTCTCTACAGGCTTGCCAATGGTTGAGGCGGTAGCAGGGGCTGGGGCACGTGAGAAAGCGCATGTGGGTAGGCTCAGACAGGAAGCAAGAGGAGCAACATAAGAGCCTTGAGTTCAGATCCTGCTCTACGACCAATAATGCCTACCTCTCACCATTGTAAACATCTTGAAAAGGTGCCTTCCACAGTGGCAGTCCTTAACAGGGCTCGGTTTCCTTTCCCTCTACCTTGCTTCTTGGGTCCTGCAGATCTTTTCTCCTTGTCTGCAGTCACCGTTCTAAGTTCGTTCCTGACTGCTGTTCTAACCATGTTGCAGACCCGCAGGTTATCTGGAGACCTCTCTGTCTTGGCCCTATGCCCTCATTTTACTGAGAACCCAAGGTTCTAAAGGAGGCAGCCATATACCATTTATCTGTGCCTCTCTTAGTCTGCTTCATCCAGAACCCCCAGCATCTTGCACATACATGGCTGTTGCACAAAAAAATTTGAGAATGGTGATGCTACTGTGTTGAGGTATTAGTGGGTCAAGGTTTGTGGAATGCTGTTAAGAACTTTTAATAAACCTAGAATGGGAAAAAAATGGTGTCTACAAAGTCTCATGTAGGTGGCACATTATAGCCCAAAGACTTCATCAAGGAAAGCAGGAGATCTTAGAGTCAGACTGCCCAAGTTGAAATCCCAGCTCCACCACCTAAAAGGTGATGGCTTCAGGCCAGGCGCGGTGGCTCACGCCTGTAATCCTAGCTCTCCGGGAGGCCAAGGTGGGCGGATTGTTTGAGCTCAGGAATTCGAAACCAGCCTGAGCAAGAGCGAGACCCCGTCTCTACTAAAAATAGAAAGAAATTAATCAGACAACTAAAAATATATAGAAAAAATTAGCCGGGCATGGTGGCGCATGCCTGTAGTCCCAGCTACTTGGGAGGCTGAGGCAGGAGGATCGCTTGAGCCCAGGAGTTTGAGGTTGCTGTGAGCTAAGCTGACGACGCCACGGCACTCTAGCCCGGGCAACACAGTGAGACTCTGTCTCAAAAAAAAAAAAAAAAAAGATGATGGCTTCAGGCAAATCACTTAACTTCCTGGGCCTCAGTATCCTTATCTATAAAATGGAAAAATAGTGCCTACCTCATGGTACATAAAGCCATGTGGTAGTGCCAAGAATTAGTAGCTACCATTTTTTGAGGACTTGAGTCTCAGGTCCTCATTTAACCATCCCAACTACCGTTACTAAGTATTACTGTTTTATAAATGAGAGAAGGGAAAAGCTCAGGGCAGTGACTTGCCCGCCATGACACAGCTGGTGAGCAGCAGGGCTGAGTCAACCCTGAGTCACCGAGCACTCGGGAGTGTGCTGGCCAGGCAGGGGAGGAAGGGTGCTGAGCAGAAGTCCCCAGGGGGCTAGTTAGCAGAGCTGGGCTGTACCATGGTTTCCCTGAAAAGGGCAAGGCAGGAAGTAGGAAGAGGTTCCGCAAGGGCTCTGGGCCTGGGGAAGACTGGGCTGAGGATAAGGGACTGCTTCAGTTAAATTTAAGCCCTGCTTGCTCAAACCAAGCTATTTTACAACTACCAAATAAATTGCTATAAAACCCTGTTTTTCTTTCCCTACACCATAGCTCAAGACTGGATCAGTCTCAAAGGAGAAAACAGTTTGGCTTTGCCTATGCCCTCCCCATTCTGCAGAAAAAATCCAAATGAAAACCCATTTCCCTCCAGACACAGCACCTCTTTGCCCTCCAGTACAGAAAGCGGCTCTGGATTCTGTTTTCTTTCCACAATGGGAGTGGAAACCCATCCAGCATCTTCTAAAAACCTGGACTTAATTTTCTGATCTTGTGGAACATCGACCCAAAAGCATTCAGATACTGCGGCTCAACTAGGATTCTGTGCCCAGGGGAGCTGGCCCCAGCCATCTGCCCAGATCCTCTGTTACCCCCAAGTGCACTCTTCATTATTAAGGGTAACCTCCACGAGTTTTTCTTCCCCTCCCTCACCTTCCACCAAAAAGCCAAACCATGCTCCAAAACAAAAACCAAATTTATTCAGCAGACATTTTAATAAAGAAATCCTATAAATCAGGACCATCACGATTTCAGACACTCCGTTGCGAAGTGTACGTCAACAGCTAACATCTGGAGGATGAACAAGCCATTGAATCTTTAAAAAATTGGTTTAGCTACCTTAATGTCTGGGGGGTGGCACCTTACTAAAGTGCCGTCAAGTTTCACAAGGGTAAAGCCAGCGGTTTCTCCTCTGGGAGAATCACATTTTAAAGACAGTTTCAGTGGCTCACAAAGAAAAGCTGGCACCGCAGGAGAAAAACTGTGCAGGTGAGGACCCACAGAGGCTCAGGCCCACAGTTCCAGGGAGGGCCAGAACAGACCAGAAAAATGTCCAGGGTCTCTCATCCATCCCTACAGACACCAGAAAGGGCGGAATAAGAAAGGCTGACTAGGAGGACAGGGAGAGACTCAAGAGAGATTGTTTATGACCGTTTCTGAGAAAGCTCCTGACATGGCCAAGAGTGGCTCTGCAGCAGAAGGAGCAGTTCTGGAAAGAGGAAAACACAGAAAAAGCAAATAACTCTCTCCACACGTCCCTCTGCGTGTCCCCGGGAGACTCCAAGCTGTAGCGAAGCACAAACAGGGCAAGAGAATAAACATCCAGGGTGAGTTATTCTCTTGGAGCAAGAGAATAAACACCCAGGGTGAGTTAGCTCTCCCAGGAACCCCCAAATCCTTCCACCTACAGCAAACCATAACCTTGAACCACAGGTGGCAAGGTCAAGTCATTTGAAAGTCCACAGTCAAATCCAACTCTTCCACCTCCAACATTCTCCACCTCCCTCCAGTCCCCTAACCAGAGTTCACATCTCCCACCTTCACCAGCCCCCCATCAGGTGGGAGAAAGGGGGTGATGCCAACCCACCCACAGCCAAGCTTTTGCATTCTTCTTGCCCCCCGGAATTTCTTTGCCCAGCAACTGTAGCACCACGTTCACCAAGTTCCTCCACCGGAAAACAAGAAGCAAATGTATGTGTGTCGTTAGTTTTCAAGTATTGTTATAAAGCTCTCGCGACTCCCACCCCGTCGAGCCCCATCTTCTAACAATCCAAGCTCACGACGCCCCCAAGAGCTAAGTCAGGTACAAGTCGATGCAAGTAGCTAGCTGCCACAGTTCTCCCACTTTATCCCAGGTCCTTGGCCCCGATGGCGGGGGAAATTCTCACGCAGCACAGGCGCGCCCTGGCTCAAGCATTTCTTCACGCTTAAGTTTTCTCCGACAGCCTCACCGGGGTCGGTAACTTCTCAGCTTTAGATCTCTCTCCACGCGCCTCCCCGCAGCCTAGGTGGTCGCTCCCAGGATAGCGACGGCGGCTTCAGCTCAGGGGTGGTGGGAACAGGACAATGCTGGGTCTGCGCAGCGGCCTCCTGTTCCTCCTCCAGCGGGTTCCGGTCAAAGGAAGGCGCCTGAGGGCTCCAAGGCAACGGGGTCCGGTCCGCTGTGGCCTCCCCCAGACCCAGGGGCGCCCACGGGGCCAGTGGCTGTAACCGCGGCGACGGCTCGTTGGAGCCTCCGCACGGCCTCCTTGATGAGGTTTCCCGAAAGCACGAGCTGCTGCAGGAGTCGGTGAGGGTCGTCGTCGCGTGCCCCGGCTTGGGTCCATCGTCGCTGCTGCAGGCGCCGGGAGGCGACGGCGCCCCGGAGCCACCCTCGCCGGCACGGCCCGGGCAGTGCGGTGGGGCCTGCGTCGAGCTCGGCCACGCAGTAGGGCGCAGCCCGGCCCCGCACGCGCCCGCGGTCCCCAAGGGCGCAGCGTAGAGCCCCTGGGGGCGCCGGGCCCACAGCCTCGGCCGACGCGGGCGGCAGCAGCAGCGGCACCGCCGGGGCCCGGGCCTTGTCCGCCGGCACCGCCGCCGGGGGCCGCAGCGGTGCTCCCGGGGGCGCGCACGGGGAGGCCGGGCTGTCCTGCGCGGCGTCCAGCTGCAGCGTCTCGCCGATCTGGGCCACCAGCCGGTCCACCTCGCCCGAGCTCCCCAGCGTCACCGACTGCTCCAGCAGGAGGAAGCTGTCCTCCTCCTCTTCCTCCCCCTCCGCTTCCTCGCCGGCTTCCTCTTCCTCCTCCCTCCGGCACGGCATGGCCCCCCGCGCCGGCACCTGGAGCACTGCGGGCGTCGCTGGCTGCTCGGCTGCCCGCGGATTCGGCGGGCCGCGACAGAGCCGGGTGCGGGGCTGGGGCTGGGGCTGAGGCCGGGGCCGGGCAGACGCGGAAGCCGGAGCCCGCCAGGCACTCGTGCCGCGCGCCTCAGTCGCGGGAGCCGGAATCCTGCCGGCTCGGGTTGATTTGTAAACAATGGGTGACGTCGCGCCGGGCCCTACCACCGCGCCCGGGCGGGGGCGACGCGCGAGAAGACACCGGGGCGCGGGGCGTCGCGGGCAGCACAGGGTCACGGACGGAGTCTTCTCATATCTGTGTCCGTTATCCGCCTCTGCGGGGATCCCGGGCTTGGGGACAGCTGTCGTACTGCCCGGCCCGACCAGCAGTTCGAGAAAATGAAGACTCTGAGGTGGCCTGGGTTGGTTTCTCCCACTCACGGACACACCCACCCACACACCCGACCCCTCCTCCCCAGACGCGTCCTCCCTCCCCACGTGTCGACCGCGCTCCGCCCGCCCTGCTCCTCCCCCGCGCGCCCGCTGTCGCCCGGACCTGGGCATGGGGGGAGGGGCGGGCCGGCTGGCCGGGCGGGCTTCGCTGAGTTGGGGGCGGGGAAAGGAGGAGGGAATTCCGGGGGAAGAGGGGACACTTTAAAGGAGGGTAGGTTCGGTGTGAGGCGGGGTCCCCGAGGCTTTCTCCTTCCCTGATCCCCGTCTTCAAGCCCCCAGGACTCACTACCGCAAGGCTAAAGAATTGATTTTGTCCTTTTTTTTTTTTTTTTTTAAGGTTCAGTTAGAAATATAGGGGATGAAAAAAATCTCCCTTAATCATAGAATTCAAACGTGGTTCACATTTAAATATTTTTCCTTTCCAGTCTTTTTTGTATAAAAGTATATTATACAAACAGCCACGCATAAAACGTCATAAACTTTCCAGTTTGCCTCACATCATAACGGTTTCTTGTGTTATTGCATGCAGTTTGAAGACATTTTAATGATCACATGTTTAATGATGACATCAAGTGCCTGTTCGGTAAATTATTAATTCCTTTAACGTTTGCTTAATTTCGCCGTTGTAAATAAGTGGGTGACTAACAGTTTGGTGCATAAATAAACCTTTAACATATTGATGATTCTTTCCTTCCAGCATATTCCC